ATTCTAATTGCAATTAATTTTTCAAGAAGGTGGCATCCCTTCTACAGTTAAGTTGTTTGAATATTGAATTAATACCCGCTCGAGGAAAGGGTGCGATAGTAGACTCCAGTTATAAGATTATTAATTAAGTTTCTAAGAGACAGTCGGTACTTTACTTATTTTCTTATTGCCTTCGAAAAGATATTAGGTCCATTCAATAACTTTTCCGATAAGTACTTGCAGGGAGAACGTAAAAGAAAAATAGAGAGTAAAATTGAGAGCAAAACAAAATTTTCTGAAAAAGTTATTCAACGCAAAACTAGTAAAAACTTGCAACTTACGCCATTTTGACACTTTCTGACGTCTAATTTTAGGGGCGCAATTTTCTTTTTAATTCGGAATAGTTCCCATCGCCATAAAAATAAAAAAAAAATACAATAGATTTAAAATTTTCATCCATATTTTCATTTCATGAATTATGTTTTATCAAATCATCCTCTTAAACAGTTTGTTTACATTTGAATTTGAAACATAACCTTAATATTTGACTCCTGCAAATTCCTGCTAGTAAACTTTTTACTTGCAAGAAAATGCAACTCTCTCGGGTTGTTACGCTCTCGAATTCGCTCTCTCTTGCAAATATTTTGGGTTATTGAATGCATTTCAAGTAAAAACGTGCAAGTACTAGTAACAATTCGTAACAATTTTTTGATATTGAATGGACCTATTAACTAACACCCACATGCAAAAAAACAATGCTTCATAGATTGAAATTTTTTGGTTTGAAAATCTTACTTCATAAAGCTCAAAGGGCGTAGCCAGGTAGGTAGGAGGGCAGCTGCATCCCTTTCAATGCATTTCTATCCCTTCCAATGCCTTCGTATCCCTTCCAATTCCTTCTTATCCCTTCCAATGTGTTCCAATCCTTTCCAATGCTTTCGTATCCCTTCCAATGCGTTCCTATCCCACCAATGCCTTCTCATCCCTTCCGATGCCTTTCTATACCTTCCAATTCCTTCTTATCCCTTCCAATGTGTTCGTATCCTTTCCAATGCCTTCGTATCCCTTCCAATGTCTTCCTATCCCTTCCAATACCTTTCTATCCCTTCCGAAGCCTTCTCATCCCTTCCAATGCTTTTCTATAACTCCCACTGCCTTCCTATCCCTTTCAATGCCTTCGTATCCCTTCCAATGCCTTTCTATACCTTCCACTGCTTTTCTATCCCTTCCAATGCCTTCGTATCCCTTCCAATGCATTCCTATCACTTCCAATGCCTTTCCATCCTTTCCAAGGCCTTCTCTTCCTTCCAATGCCTTTCTATATCTTCCACTGCCTTTCTATCCCTTCCAATGCCTTCGTGTCTCTTCCAATGCATTTCTATCCCTTCCAATGCCTTCGCATCCCTTCCAATTTCTTATTATCCTTTTCAATGTGTTCCTATCTTTCCAATGCCTTCGTATCCCTTCCAATGTGTTCCTATCCCTTCCAATGCCTTTCTATCCCTTCCAAAACCTTCTCATCCCTTCTAATGCTTTTCTATACCTTCCACTGCCTTCCTTTCCCGTCCAATGCCTTCGTATCCCTTCCAATGCGTTCCAATCCCTTCCAATGCCTTTCTATACGTTCCACTGCCTTTCTATCCCTTCCAATGCCTTCGTATCCCATCCAATGCCTTCTCATCCCTTCCAATGCCTTTCTATATTTTCCACTGCCCTCCTATCCTTTCCAATGCTTTCGAATCCTTTCCACTACCTTCGTATCCCTTCCAATGCGTTCCTATCCCTTCCAACACCTTTCTATCCCTTCCAAAGCCTTTTCATCCCTTCCAATGCCTTTCTATACCTTCCACTGCCCTCCTATCCCATCCAATGCGCTCCTATCCCTTCCACTGCCTTTCTATCCCTTCCAATGCCTTCGTATCCCTTCCAATGCATTCCTATCACTTCCAATGCCTTTCTATCCCTTCCAAGGTCTTCTCTCCTTTCCAATGCCGTTCTAAACCTTCCAATGCCTTCCTGTCCCTTCCAATGCGTTTCTATCCCTTCCAACGCTTTCCTATCCCTTCCAATTCCTTTTTATCCCTTCTAATGTGTTCCTATCCTTTCCAATGCCTTCGTATCCCTTCTAATGCATTCCTATCCTTTCCAATGCCTTTTTATCCCTTCCAATGCCTTCTCATCTCTTCCAATGCCTTTCTGTACCTTCCACTGCCTTCCTATCCATCCCAATGCCTTCGTATCCCTTCCAATGCGTTCCTGTCCCTTCCAACGCCTTCCTATCCCTTCTAATTCCTTCCAATGTTTTCCTATCCTTTCCAATGCCTTCGTATTTCTTCCAATGCCTTTCTATCCCTTCCATTGCATTTCTATAACTTCCACTGCCTTCCAATGCCTTCGTATCCCTTCCAATGCGTTCCTATACCTTCCAACGCCTTCCTATCCCTTATAATGTGTTCCTATCTTCCTATCCCCTTCAATTCCTTCTTATCCCTTCCAATGTATTCCTATACCTTCCACCGCCTTCCTGCCCCTTCCAATGCGTTTCTATCCCTTCCAACGCCTTCCTATCGCTTCCAATTCCTCCTTATGTGTTCCTATCCTTTCCAATGCGTTTTTTCCCCTCCAATGCCTTCTCATCCTTTCCAATGCCTTTATATGCCTTCGTATCCCTTTCAATGCGTTCCTGTCCCTTCCAACGCCTTCCTATCCCTTCTAATTCCTTCCAATGTGTTCCAATCCTGTCCAGTGCCTTCGTATTTATTCCAATGCCTTTCTATCCCTTCCATTGCATTTCCATACCTTCCACTGCCTTCCTATTCCTTGCAATGCCTTCGTATCCCTTCCAATGCGTTCCTGTACCTTCCAACGCCTTCATATCCCTTATATTGTGTTCCTATCCTTTCTAATGCCTTTCTATCCCTTCCAATACCTACTTATCCACTCCAATGTCTTTATATACCTTTCACTGCCTTCCTATCCCTTCCAATGGCTTCGTATCCCTTCCACTTCCTTCTTATCCCTCCCTTCCAATGCCTTCCTATCCCTTCCAATGGCCAAGTCCCCTTTCCTTCCAATCCCTTCCAATGTGTTCCTATCCTTTCCAATGTCTTCGTATCCCTTCCAATGCCTTTCTATATTTTCCACTGCCCTCCTATCCTTTCCAATGCCTTCGTATCCTTTCCAATACCTTCGTATCCCTTCCAATGCGTTCCTATCCCTTCCAACACCTTTCTATCCCTTACAAAGCCTTTTCATCCCTTCCAATGCCTTTCTATACCTTCCAACGCCTTCCTATACCTTTCAGTTCCTTCTTATCCCTTCCAATGTGATCCTATCCTTTCCAATGCCTTCGTATCCCCTCCAATGCCTCCCAATGGAACTACTAAACTGCCTACCCAAAATTTTTCTAATTGTCTTAATTTTTGCACGAATTTTGAAATGTGGACTTATGTGGCGCTAGTTATATAAAGTGCTACACTTGTATAAAAATAAAAAAAAATATAAAAAAATAGCCAAAACTAGTCAAACTGTCACTTGACTTAATCAGCTGACCACAAGGGTATTTTCCAAAATGAAAAGAAGCATTTCCGCATTATCGCGCAACAACCTATTTCTATTTTCAACATAAATGCTACCCGAAGAACTAAACACTCTTTTTGATTTCACTGAGGAAGGTGTTGCACAGAGACACTTCATTACCAGTGTAAACAAATTTGGCAGCTATGTATATTTAAAATAAACATTCATCAACCACACGTTTCTGCTTAGCGGCATTTATTGTTGGTTATCTTTTGTCTTCGACGTCCTTTGCTTACCAAAAATAATCTATAAATCAGGGTTGCAGACGGAGAAGTTATTTTTTCAATACAGAATTATTTTATAACTTGGATTTAAGAGGAACAATTTTGTATTCCTAATTACGTATTGGATAGTTCACCTCAAAAAAGCAGATAATCTAGTCATAAGTATGTTGCTAAACAAGAAAACCTGACTTCCAAAACGTACCAATATACTCCGGTTTTTAAACTGTTTGTATATGCAGTTGTGAAACATTGCATATTTCGAATATTCAATATAACATTGAACAGCGATACGTTTCGATAACTTCTCGGATGCGGTTCGGAAAAGTATACATTGTCCACCATTTGTAGTTCGGCGTTACAGAACATTATACTTTGTTTGGAAGTTGACATTTTTTCGCCTGCAGGAATACGAATAGAAGTATGTACACTTTTAAGATGCATGCATGTGCATTATGCGTGCCTTTTATCGTTCTGTATTTCAATAAATCCCTGGCCATGTTAAACCCAGTTGAAGCAAATTTCCTGTATTTCTCTTACTAGCACCTGAAACCATACTTATGTGTTTACTAGCGCTGGCAGCTTTAAAAAATTTATAGCGTTTTTACGTTCTTTGGCAAACTACGCTCTGTTAGAGATAACTTTTACTGTGCTTTGACCGCCTTTGCATCAATACTCCTCGACCATCTAGGGAACTCATTTATATTTTAAAGTGCATTGCCATCGTGGTTGGAACTATGCTGAAAATTTCAAGTCTCTGTCTTGTCGGGAAGTTAGTTTAAAATCGATTGGAAATTTCCGCGGGTTGAGCAAATTAAATAAAAGCTTGTAAAAATATCAAAATTTCAAATATGATGACACTTTTATAGATGAAATTTTGTTCTTATCGTGAAGGTCGCTTGGGACTTTCTCCTAAGTTTGTGATTGTACTTATTGGAAACCCTGTACATATATGTAATTAAATCATTATTAGCATAGTTAATTAATGTTCACCATGGAAGCTTATGTTCAAAATTTTAAGATTCTTGTTTGGCAAAATTTTGTATAAAATGCTCCCACTATGCTTCGCCCTATCCTCATTTAAAGACTTTATTGCAATGTAGTTCACCAGTTAGTATAAGCAGAGATAATTTCAAAGTGATGATCTTAAACCACTTTGGTTTCGCGCGCACAAAATTATAGTAAATAGTTGCACAAACACGCCTACCTTATTTTATTTACAGATAACTTATACGTCGCTTTTTCCAAGTAGGTGCGCCGATCACAAATCGTTTCTCTCGTAAAGTAAAAACATTATCAAGCTCTGATTCACTTCTTTTGCCTCTTCTGCCATTTACGAAAGCACGCTGCGTACTACTGGTGAGATAATATGGAGTGCCCTCAATGTCGGGGACACCACAGCGTGGCTTGATGAATAGCTTAAATAAATATAAACAAAAAAGTTGTATATGAACATTTTTAGGACTACATTCTCCGCTTTAAATAAAGAACCGACGAAGTCAAGTTCAATAAACTTCACACGCTTATCACTGTTATCAACGCCAGCTGTATGACGGATAGACTTTTAATCTTACCTCCAACGTTTCATTGTCCAGCTTGCCCGTCTGGTTGAGCCCTCCATACTTTTGTACATTCTTTATAGCTTCCACTATTGCCGACTCATGATAAAGCGATTCAGAGTCGCTCGGATTAGGTTCTAAGTAGCCGAAGCGTCGCATAAAACGTAGCTAAAATTAGAATAAGCAAATAAATAATGAACTAGAATAGAAGGCTTTTTCGCTTTTGCTGTTGCGCATACGATTTCCGGTGGCGGCACTTCGATGTTCCGTTTGGCGCGCACATCCTCTTGCTGAGTAACTTCCATTGTGTTTGTTGTTCGTTTTTGTACTATTAGTGGCGTTGCACTTGCAGGTGCAGTTCGCGTCCCCCACATGAGTGTTATGCAAAGAATCCCGCAGAGTACAAATGATGCCATAATTTCACCAAATTTAATATTTAACACGCTTCCCGCCGTCTTAGTTTTCACGCACAAACAGTCCCACTCTTGTAGAGCGGATTTTCGCAACTGACTTAAGTATGCGACTAGCAAATGGCTCGACTGGACGGAGAGGCGACATAATTTGGCGTTGACTGCTTATCAGGAATGAGTGCGTAAACGTGTACATATGTACACATATATCGTCGTTTAAAGTACAAAACCGCGTATCGTCATTCTGCAAAACCACGTAACTGATATTGGATTTGCTCACACAAGTTCTTGGCTCAATCCTTATCCATTCGCCCTGAAATATAGTAGCCAGAAATGCGATTGCTTTATAAAAAAGGGAACCATTTTGAAATATGAGTGTTTTTACTCTCTAGAAAATAATTTATGCAACCTCACACACGCGGTTTTGCATTTTGTTGATACGCGGTTTGTACTTTGAACGACGATATGTATGTCCATATATGTATGCAAGTTTGTATGAGCTTATAAAATCTTTGAAACCTCGCTACGCTAACTAGAAGACCTGATTGATGCATAAAAAAAGAACATAACCTCAGCCCAAAAAGTTGACTACAAACATTGAGATTGACTTGAGGAAATTATTATGGATAGGTTCCATCAAATAACCTAAGTATACAGAAAACAAGGATTCCTGTTATCAATCATACGTATTGAAAATTCAGTATCCGCACAGTGAACTAATGTTATTTTCATTTCCACCAAAAAATAACGCTTTTTGATCAGTGTACGAAAATAAATTATATTATACGCAGTGTTGCCAGATTTGCTTCAACTATAAAT